ACCGGACGTGTGTCAGAAGGCAACACCCACCGCTCAGGCTCCACTGGACTGTTTTGGATTGCTAGCTATTGGGGGGGGGGGACATGCAGATCTGTCCTCGCAGAGGAGGGAGAGCTCGTACCTGAACAAAATTTGGTCTTTGTTGTAAGAAAAATGTGTTTGGCTTGTTGTGTCTGTGAAAGCGTGTTTACCTGTGTCACCCACACTCTCCCCTCAGTTCGTGTCTGCTCTGCAACTTACCTGGCTGCTTCTTGCTCTGACTGATGGCTGCTGGGAGCAGGGGGTGGGGCTTGTTGCATGTGCCCGCCCCCTGGGCTCTTTACTGCCGGAGCTCCGCTCCTGTGCGCTCCTGCAGGAAATGACCCCTGCATTAAACGTTGGTATTATCCTGATCCCCCTCCCCTCCTAGGCTACACGCTTCTGAGAGGCTGGGCAATCAGAATGCATGCGAGGGGCTGGACAGAGCCTACTTGCAGGGAAACCCTAGCCCTCGCCCTTTTATCCTGGTAAACATGCTGCCATCATCTGGACTACGACTCTACAGCTTCTTTGCAATGGCTTAGCTCACAAAGAGCGGGGTATTGAGGGAATGTGTGTGCATATGGATTAATTCTCAACCTCCTTCCATACCTGCTCATCCCCTAGCTCAGTCAGGTGTTTGATCTCTGTGTGGATTAATGGCAAGGCACAGTAACAGAACTTTTAAAGTAAAAAAAAAAGGACTTTGATTGACTTGAAAACACTCCTGTCTCTAAGAACACAAAGGCAATGGCAATTCATAGCAGAACAAGGCTGCAGATGTGTTATGTAATCTAAGATAAGGAACCAAACCAATCACTCACTGAATTTGCCTAGTCACTGATTTCGCCTTGGCATTTGTCCCTGAGATATGGGCATAAAACAGCTGGCACTTATAAAGAAACAAACCATAGCTGTTGCAGACTTCACACAGCTTTCTTGCCAGTTCCCTGCCCCGCAGTTTTTGCACCTGACAGAAAGGACACTAAATCCTTTAACCCTTTTTCTTTCTAGCTGGGAGGGGTTCTCTTCTACCTGTCCTGAAATGGGGGCTGGTGTCACATTCTTTATGAACAACTTTCAGGATCCAGGTTGCAATATAACATAAGATGAACTGTATTAACTATTCACATAACTTAGAAATCAGTAGTAGAAGAAGCAGACTGACTTGCTGCTTCAGCCTTGACTCTGTTCATCTGCCTGACCCTCTAGGATATATAAGCACCACCGACTTAAAGTCATAGTCTCCTCACAACTGAGTACCTACATTTTCTGCTGCCTGGCATATAACCAATTATGTTTGTGGTGCTCCCCTGGCTTTGAGGGCCCGTCCGGTCAGAATATCAAAAGTAATCAGTTTTGCTTCCTCCTGGCACTATGGCAAAATGGCCCCTTCATCTGTCACCCTAAATGGGGGTGCTTTCCTTCCTGCAGGTAACCAGAGGCTGTTCTCAATTTATTCCCATATAATCTGATGTCGCTGAGGCTGTAAAACCAGCTTGTGTGTGTTACTTCACAACAGCTGCAATTTAGCAAATTGTGAGAGATTGTGCAGAAAAACACAGTCAGGTCCAGATAGAAATGTTGAAGCCATAGCAAATGTCCATTCTCATTTGTACATTACAATGCACAACCCAGGCAAAAGTTACATGTGCATATGTATTCTTCTCACTTTCTACCTGAGTGGTGCCTGACTAGAATCAATACAGTGCTGCACATGGAGGGCTTCAGCCCCCCCCCCCCATGCCACTTTTCCAGCCTGAAACAGTCTGGGGAGGTGATACTGGCTCTGTTTGGGAAACCCACATGTATTCTGGGAAACATGTGGGTTTGCTCAAGTAGCACCTCTTTCTGCATAGAAAACCCATCCAGTGACCAAGTTACACATTACAGGGTCACACATCTTGGGTACAGTGCAGAGACCTGCACGCTCCCCATATATGTGACTGGTGGGCTTCCGTAACACATGAATGAAACGCGGCCGTAAATGTCTACAGATGTCTAATGTTGTAATCAGTTGTGCAGATGGAATGCATTTTTGAATTATATGAATAAATAGTATCACAGTGAAGCAATCTTAAGTGAACCAGACTTACTCCATTAAGGCAAAAAACCCCACACCTCCTGTTTCCTCAATCTCTATTGAAATGGTAAGCATGGTGACCTTCATGTGGTTTAATTACCTTTTCCTGTTAATTCTGGTAGACAGCTCACTCCTTTGTAGAAAGCCTTTTCATCTGGAAATAGAATCTTGATAAGAACAGCCACAGAGGGCATTTTCGGGGTGTGATGAACCAAAGAACCACAATTAATATGTACACTCTTACGTTCAAGTAAAGAATTCAGCATGGCTGCAGTTAGCAAGCTCAACATGGGGTGCTAGGCCACATACAGTGGGCATGTTTTGCCAATATGGTACAGTTGCTAAGGTGCTTGACCAGGATCTGAACAACCTGGGTTCTAATGTCCACTCTGCCATGCAGCCTGCTGGGTGACTTTGGTCCAGTCAGCCTCCCCCCCAATGAAACCCACCTCACAGGATTGTAGGGAAGATAAAATGGGTGATGGGAGAGCCATGTGCACTTCTCTGTGCTCTTGGGAGATGGGGCAGAATAAAAATGCAGTAGATGCAGGGGTCATTCCATAGAAAAAGAGGTGCAGGAGCTCATTAGTATAATTCATTAGCATTACTTATTTATATATGCCACACACCCCTGGCATCACCGGAAGTGTGTCAGAAGGCAACACCCACCACTAGACTGTTTTCGATTGCTAGCTATTGGGGGGGACGTGCAGATCTGTCCTCGCAGAGGAGGGAGAGCTTGTACCAGAACAAAACTTGGTCTTAAAGGTACCACTGGACTGTTTTGGACCAGGGGGCCAGGGGGGGCTCTGCAACTTACCTGGCTGCTTCTTGCTGGGAGCAGGGGGTGGGGCTTGTTGCATGTGCCCACCCCCTGGGCTCTTTACTGCCGGAGCTCCGCTCCTGTGCACTCCTGCAGGAAATGACCCCTGAGTAGATGGATGCTGTGAAGGCAAGTAAAGCAAAAGTCTTGGATGCGCATGTCTGTCACTGATTTCCAGGAAACAACTGCTGAGAAGCACAATCTGTCTCTCTTGCTGAGCGTTTCTGTCAGCTGAAGCTTGCAAGCCTTGGTGTGTCTTATTCCCATGTGTCAGCTCATGAAATGTACTTGGAAGTCGTGAGTTTGGCAACAAAATAAATGCACGGTACTTTTTATCCACTTCCTAGCTCCTTGAGCCTTTCAGGACCAAACTCAATGTGACATATAGCTGTGTGTTTTTGCTCCCCTGGCTTTTTAAAAACCACAAGTAGTTCAGGGAGGCTGAGGTGGAGAGATGGCAGGGGAGGGGGAAAGGAGCCAGTTTGGTGCAGTGGTTAAGTGCGCAGACTCTAATCTGGGAGAACCGGGTTTGATTCCCCACTCTTCCACTTGCACCTGGCTGGATGACATTGAGCAAGCCGTAGTCCTTGAAAAAGAGCCATTTCTGACAAGAGCTCTCTCAGCCCCACCTACCTCACAGGGTGTTTGTTGTGGGGAGGGGAAGGGAAAGGAGCTTGTAAGCCGCTCTGAGACTCCTCTGGGTAGTGAAGGG